GGAGAGGGGCTGTGTGCTGATGACCGGGGGGCAGGCTTGCAGGGTATACTTTTTGGTTGGTGGATAATGCATGGAGGGGATTGTAACCATGGCAAAGAAACGATATACAATAGGATGAAGGTAAAGCTAATATTCTCCCATGTAAACTATCACATAATTCACAATAAAACATTAAAAAAAAAAAAAACTACACTGAACAAAAATATTGTGTGCAAAGATCAATTAGCAGTCTTTTAGATTATAGCCCAGCATGCTAAGTATACCTTAGTCTGTTTTCTAAAATAGGGATGAATTGAATACAATACGACTACATCTCCGAGTAAAAAGTCAGTAGGGTGTTAACTGTTAGGGAGTATATCAGATAGCTATTATGTTTTATAATACGTGATCAAAAATAAGTCGTCTTGGTACAATTAGTATGCCATCAATATTTCATCAGCTCCTTTCACTGCATCAGAGTAAAACCAAGAATGCTTTTCAGAACGCAGTTTGAAATACATACCAAGTATGAGAAAATTACAGGGAGAACCACTACCGGACACCAGTAAGCATATCGGTGATGCTCAGTAAACATGAATGAATGAGTCCATCAATCATGAATGAGAACTCAATAACCTCTGTTCTCCATTTATTACAAAACATTTAGACCTCCTAAATGGTTCATCTGTACTAGCCGAGGCGGGTCTATCAGTAACAATGACCATGATAACAGCTTACTTTATACAGCACTATGTGATGTGTTCTGCTCCCGTAAAGAGTTACAGCCTTGGAAACCCTATACACGGTCGCTATGAGTTGGAACCGACTCCGCGGCACACAGCCATGTAAGCTCTGATAGCGTAGTGGTTACGAATCGGGCTGCGAACCGCAAGGTCAGAAGTTTGAAACTACCAGCTGTTCCGCGGGAGAAAGATGAGGCTTTCTGCTCCCATAAAGATTTACAGGCTTGGAAACCCTGTACAGGGTCACTATGAGTCGGAATCGACTCCACGGCACATAACAACAACAACAACATGTGCTAGGTAATGTCTAAGTGCTTTTTTGTATGAACTCATTTAATCCTAGTAATAATCCTATGGTGTAGATGCAATCATCAACCCCATGTTACGGATGAGGAAACCAAAGCCCAGAAAAGTTAAGTCATTGCCCAAGGATCCATAATGACTAAGTGTCAGTACTGGAATCTCAATCCAGAGTTCACACTTGTTGCCATGAGGTCAACGCTGCCCTTCTCTCTGCCAGGCCCATACTCACCAGGCCCAGGAGGGGCTTTCGAACAGACTGACGGTCCATGGTTTTCCTCTCGAAAGCTCTCTTGGTAGCGGGGAGAGTCTCTGGGAAGAAGGTAAACACCTGGAGATGCTGCAGAACTCTGCTGTACTCTTCATGGAAGATGGCCACAAGGTTTCCCTCTCTGCCGGCAAGTTTAAGTAACTAGAGTGCACAGGAAAAGGAGACATGGAGGAAAGGAGAAAACGGAGATGAAAGAGTCTGGGACTGTAAAGTCTCATCAAAACCAAGTGGAAGCAAAGGTCAGCAGCAATTCACCCCGCCCAAGTGACCAACACTGAGGCCCAAGTTGGAGGCTCATCAAGAAACAACACTCTCTGTGGTTCGGCCAACAATGAAGCTGGCCAGTTCTTCTGAGAATGTTCAAGACGGAAAGAAAGGCATTTTAAAAGCCACATGTTTCATGGCACCACCCAGGGATCAAGAATTCCAATTCATGATGAATCTCACCAACACCAGATGGAATCTATCTAGTGTGTGCAGGTCCCTGGGTGGCACAAAAGGCTAAGCATCAACTGTTAGCTGAGAGGTGGGTGGTTTGCATTCACCCTGAGGCGCCTCAAAAGAAAGTCTGGTGATCCACTTCCAGAACTTCACCACTGAAAACTCCACGGAACGGAGTTCTACTCTGCCACACATGGTTGTCATGAGTTGGAATCGACTCAGTAGTAACTGATTAGTTTGAATAATTCCTCTAACTGCTTACTGTCCCCTAAAATGCCAAGAGAACTTCCGAGGTTGCTTTTCCTCAGGAGGAGGAAGGTACTTACAGAAAGCAGAGGCTGTAACTGCTCCAGAGCTTGGTGTACAAAGTCACTGTGGGCCTCCGCATAGCCGTGGACGCAGTTGGTGAAGAGGCCCTGGGCGTAATGGTGGAACTTGGGCAGCTCGTCCAGCAGCTGGGCATTCAGGGCCTCGTAGTTGTTTCGGGCTGACTGCAACTCCTCCAGAGTCTTCTTGTCCTTCAGCTTCTCTGCCCGTTCGGTGCAGTTATACAAGTCTAGGCGCTTGTCGAAGCGTTTCTGCACCAGCTTGTGGGGTCCTGTAAACATGCTCAGTAACTGATTTAAGGGAGAGATGACAAGCCGCTCCATCCGCTCTTTCTGTAGAGAAGGGAAAGGCAAGTTTAAGTAAGCTAGGGATTCTATCAGCATCCCATATTTGCTAGTCATGTGGCGCTGTGGCTGAATACACTGGACAGCAAAGTTGGTTTGAACTGTAAGTCGGTGGTTCAAGTTCACCAGCTGCCCATTGGAAACCCTATACAGGGTTGCTATGGGTCGGAACCAATTCGACGGCACTTAACAACAACAACAAAATGCTCTTCAGGTTGACCGCACTATGTCCTGTACCATCGCTGTGTGCCCCAGTGTACAAGGTCAACTCACATAAATCTACAACAGTGCTATAACCAAGATGAAAGACTGTACTCACACAATCCATAAAACTTCTTAATCTACAGTTCTTCAAGGATTTTAACATACAGTTTGCGAAATATACAAATTCCACCATAGTTCCTTGTTGTTATTAATTGTCGTTGAGTAGGTTCTGACCACAGCAGCCCTGTATAGGGTGTCTGAAGAGCGACTGGTGAGCTTGAACTGCCAACTTCGAGGTTCAAACTGATTTTTCAGACAAAGCCTTGGTGGACAACAAACTCTAAACTACACACGTTACAACGATGATTGAACTCCAGACCAGATGTGAGTGTGTTTCCTGTCATTATGTGCATATGTCTGTTGTTAACTTGTTAAGTACCGTGGAGTCATTGTGCCTCATAGTGACCCCATATATGGTTTCCGAAGCATGCAAATCTTTGAGGTGGCTCTGTGAAGACTGTTTTTGTTAAATGTCGGTGAGACAATTCTGACTTGCAGTGACCCTTTATAGGGTTTCCAAGCAGCAGTTCAGTGCTTATCCAACAGTGACACACCAGGGCTCCACTGTAAATACTATAGCCCAGAAAATTCTATGAGGCAGTTCTACTCTGTCACATGGGATGGCTACGCCTCAGAATCAATTTTGATGGCACCCAAGAATGACTCGCATATATGTATTTAGAATTTTCCAAGCAACTTGGGTTTTAGAGCTTTCTTTATAAATTTGTGTTTGTATTGTTTCTGTATCATCTAAAAGATCTCTTTGATAACCTTACTCTTGTTAGCTTTTAATATTCCTAAATTTTCCCTTTCAAATTATTAGTACAACAGTACACCTTTTCTTTTGATCAGTTAGCAACAGTGAGACCAGATTAAATGTCCTAATTTTCATTTGATCTCTGTAACTAAGTTGTCACCAGCATACACGTCCTTCCTGTCCCTTCGATTCATTGAATGTCATGGTCTTTATATAAAACCCTGATATGAGTATGGTTGTCCCTTGAACAACACGGGCTTGAACTGCATGGGTCTACTTATACATGGGTGTTTTTCAACAAATGTATTGAAATTTTTTTGGGGACATTTGTGACAAATTAAAAAACTTCACATGAACCACGTAGCCTAGAAATATAGGGAAAACAATTTAAGAAAAACGTAGGTATGTCATGAATGCATAAAAATAGATATGTCTATTTTATCATTTACTTAGAAACCCTATATAAGTTTGCTGAGTCAGAACTGACTAGACGGCATTTAAAAACAACAATAAAATAGGAATGCTGGTGATGCTGTAGGATAAGCACTGGACTGCCAACCACAAGGTCAACAGTTCAAACCCACCAGTAGTTTCAAGGGTGAAAAATAAGGCTTTCTGCTCCCGCAATGATGTACAGCCTTGGAAATCCTATACAGGGTCATTTTGAGTCAGAACTGATTCAACGCACTTAACAATAGCAACAATGATAAAATAGATACAAATTTATTACGAAAATTTAAAATTTACCGAAATGTACACACAAACACTTACAGAGCCAAGAAAAAGATAAACAAATTATGTATGAAATCATAACTGCATAAAATTAACTGCATAAGTACACACGGTACTGCTGTAATAATTTTGTGGAAGCCACCTCCCACTGCTATTGCAGTGAGCTCAAATGTTGCAAGTACCGGCTCAAAATGTCATGTGATACTGATCATCTCCCTGCATAGGTCATGTTTGCAGTAAACTGTGTACGGCAGTACAAAGTGATCTCTCACATCACATGGTTAGTGCAATGCCCTAAAGCTCGAGTAACAGCATGGCTGCCCTATGAAGTGCCGCTAGTGATGCTGGAAGTGCTTCCAAGAAGCAGAGAAGTCATGACATGACAAGAAAAAGTTGTATTACTGGATATGGATTGAAGTTCAAGTCAAGATAGATGTCTGCCATTTCAAGACAGATGAATTCACTTTAAGGACTACTGTTAAAAATTAAAAGGAAATTCACAAAGCTGTTGCTGCAGCTACATCAGCAGGTGCCAAAATTTTACACTTTTGTGACATGCCTTATCTTGTATTAAAATGCATTTTTTATGTAGGTGTTGTATAATACATATAATGCATGAAATATGTATTAATTGTTGCTTATGTTATGGTAAGGCTTCCAGTCAACAGTAAGCTATTAGTAATTAAGTTTTAGGGGAGTCAACAGTTACATGTGGATTTTTGACTTGCGGGGGTTGGAGGTCAGTGCTCATAACCCCCTCATTGTAGAAGGGTCAACTGTATCGCTAAGGACAGTGAGTATTCCTGTGAGGAGCACATCTGTGTGGACTTACCTTTTTCTTGAGCTGAATGGTATAGAAGGAACCGTACAGGTGCAGTGGTTAAGTACTTGTCTGCTAACCAAAAGGTTGGCAATTCAAACCCACCCGCCACTCCACGGGAGAAAGATGCTTCTCTAAAGATTATAGCTTTGGAATCCCTAAGGAAACTGTACTTCATACTATAGGGTCACTATGAATCAGAATCAACATGACAGCTATGGGTTTGGGGCTTGAATATTAAAGAGAACCCTGTGAGGAAGCTCAGATTATGAAGACTGGGTTGAAGAAAGTATTCCTTACAAAACTTGTGAAGAGCTGATCGCTGATGTAGCGGTGCGCCTTCTCAAACTGCTCCAGCTCTCTGTTTCCCTTCTCCATACACACATCCCACATACTTGTGGCGGCCACCACTTTTATACATGCCGATTCCTGGGGCCAGGTGGAAATAAACACAGGTGAGGTCAAATAGAACTTTCTAGCCTTTACCATTCACTCTGTAGCAATCAGAAACAAAAGGTTTCAAAACTTGAAACTCTCACTCATATAGTATTCTAGCTTTGCTATGAACGTATGTCAGACATTATGATTTATGGGGCACAGAGAAAAGTCTAAGACTTTTCCAGAATAACTGGTGAGGACTTACGTCATTTCTACAGCATTTCCTTATGCCCCTAGCTGGAAGTTTATTTCTTCTTTTTTGAAAAAGAATATATTTTCTTTTTTTTGTTGTTGAAAATACACCTAGGAGAACATATATGAATTTGACAACTTCTACATGTAAAATTCAGTGACACTGATTACACTACTTAAAGTATGTAACCATTCTTATCCTCCTTTTCCAAATTGTTCCTCCCACAATAACATAAAAATTTGTCTGTCTAATCTTTCAAGTGGCTTGTGTCAGTTTTATCTCACATTTATAGATAGTTCTTTAGAAGAGTACAATGCTCACCACATTCTTTACTAAGCTAAACTACTCAGGTAGTCT